ACGGAGTAACTCGCCACCGGTGGCCCCGCTCCGGTCCATACAAACTCGACTACCCTCTTTGTTGAGAAAATCTCCAAAGATACTTTTGATATTGACAAAACCATCTCTTGTGATTTATGGTTTGGTTTGATAGATGCAGATGTGTTATTTCTTGTCAGGTGGCATTAATCGATGATTTAATATTTTGTAACTGCCTTAGTGCTAAGTGAAAGGACTCGAGGACCTTGAGAAAAGCATGTGGGTAAACAAGTTAAAGTGAACGGGAAGTTTGTGAGGACTTGGAGGAACCAATAGATGAACCGGTCCTTGGAAGTCTCATTCACATATGTATTCAGGAGAATTAATGGAATGCCATAAACAAGTTTTTTACCAGCTCGATGACTGGGCAGATTGGCCATCAAGTTGAGAAAATCTTCCTTAGTCAAATTACATAATAAATGAAGATTCAGATATTCCTTTGACCGTTATTACATATCTAAAGGAATTTGATAGCTAATCACAGGTATGGAATTACGAACTCCAATCAATTATCCATAATAGCGATGAAAAATGATTATTTTCTAATATAGCCACTCTCTTCGCGGAAGAACAAGATTGCCGGGAGATTTGATTGTATGGGCAACCAAATCTCTAGTGATTTTATTGCAATCTACAACAGCTAAATTGATTATCTTAAAGATCATTCAACGATCAACTTGAAGATTGACAACTATATAAAGAATCAACGCAAGCCAAAGTGGATAGATACAAGCTACGGAAATTGTGGGAGCAATCTCTTTTGAAAAGAGTACTGGTGGTGTGATCCCACTACAAATCGACGAGCAAATATCTTTATCTCTCTACTCATTATTTTAACTGTTTGATAGAAACACCTCACTTGATATAAGCAGCTTATTCTTGCATGTATCAAACTGTTCCTGCATATATCAACTTGATTCCGCGAAAATCTATCAAGTTCTATTTTATAATCTATTCACCCCCTCAAATTTCTCTCACTAGCCATAGCACTCTTTGCCTTGTCGTTTCAGTCTCATGATCATCCCAGTTAATCTAATTAAGTAAGTTCAGGTTTGTTTAATTTTTATAAGTAGTTTATTTTAGTATATAGTTTTTAACTGCATGTTACTTAGTGGAAAACCTTAGGTTATTTTATTGTCTTATTGCATTAATTAATGACATATTGAGGTGTCGGACCTTAATATCTCTCATGTATGATTTAGATTGCACGTAGATTTAAGGTTTATTGCTCTCATAAACATGCATATTAGATAATGTGTGTCATTTAGAGAATCATATATTCTTGGAGTTAAGTTTTAGTAATTAAATCATATAGATAATTTTAGTTATTAGTAACATTGCATGAATTACCGCATTGCATATAGCATAAAAAATGGTCAGCACTGCATCATTTAATTATTAGTCACATAGTAATTTGATGGTTAGTTCATTAGGTCATACATAGAATCCTAGATTTGAATTTGTCGTTTTTTTATAATTATAAAAATAACAAATAGCATTTCATATAGTTTGCATTAGAGAATTAATTCATGATTATCTTTGTGTCATTCATACATGTTAATTAACTTAGGATTGCATATATACATTATTTTATTATCAAGAGTATGTCATCTTGCATTTAGGAATTACTGCATGTTCAATTTTTTTTTGGTCATAATGCATGTTCATTTAACATGTAGACTTTAGGGGTCTTTTTATTAATTAACAAAGAAAAAGAACAAAAAAATTTATTTAGGGAATCTCATATCGATTAAGTTAATTGGGAGAATAAATTTTTATAAACTTCACATTGCATGACATTTAGTGAATCACACGTCATTTAGGACTAAATTTCATTGATATCTCTTATAGATGACATTTTGAATTAAAGTATGTCTAATTCCATAACATGTAGTTTAGGACTCATTATGCACAGCCATACTATTCATGCATGTCATTTAGCGTTTTAACATGTGCATATAAGTCAAAAGAGCAAGGTGTTTAGCTGAGCATTTGCACCTGTATCGCTAGATTCTTGAATTATTAAAAAGAGCAGTCTAATCACCATAATTACTTTTGACTTAAAAGATTTGATTAAGTCAAAAAGTACCTGATTTGCTAAGTAAGAAAGTTACAACTAATGTGGTAAAAGGGAAAAAAAAAAAGAAAAGGCTACTGATTCTCTGATTTTTGAAACCTTTTTCCTGACATGGTGACAGATTGGCAATTAATTGCAACATCATTAGAACATAATCAAATGTTCGAGAACATTTGTGGATCTGAACATGATCTATGACGTCTAACGATATAGTACTAAAACCAGAGTTGTTGTTTAATATAAATATCTAGAAATTAAATAACAAGTCACAAGACGATTATAAATTTACTTATCATTTCAAATAACTTTATGTCGAGTAACATGACACTTGTGAGGATGGGGGCAAATCTTTTTTTTTTAGGGTTAATATCACAAAAAATAAAAAATCAATATATTCGTGACAAATTTACTACAAATTAATGTTTTGACCATAAAAAATCTCAAATTGATACACATGTGATAAATTTACCCTCCGTTAGTTTCCGTTAAATTTTACTGTCAAATTGCTGAGTTAGATGACACGTGACAGTTGACGGATGTACCGGTTTAGATTTTACCCCTCTGTTTGTCACAGATTTACCAATTTATGATTTTTCATGGTATTAATCCAATTTAACGGAGGGTAAATTTGTCACAAGGATTCCATTTTGCGGTTTTTGGTAGTCAAAACATTAATTTTAGGTAAATTTGCCATAACTGTATCAGTTTAGGGTTTTTCGTGATCAAAAAATTAGTTTGAGTAAATTTATCACAAATATACCAGTTTGAGATTTTTCATGGTATTAACTTTTTGTTTTAACGGAAATGAATTTTACTGGAAAATACTTTTAGATAACATATTTTCAAGAAAAATGATTTGATGTGTTTGCTTGCTTTTGGCTAATAAGATGGAAGTCACTCTTTTTATATTTGTTATAGGAAAGCAATGACACGCATTTGACAAAAAGTCTCGACTACGACCCAAGAACTTGAGTTCAGGCGCAAGGTCTTGGGTCTGGCCATCGAGGGACCAAGGTCTGAGTGTCGAGGATTCGAGCTTGGCCGACAGCCTCCAAGTCCGGCACTGGGAACCTCGGGTCCCATTGCCAAGCACTTGGGACCAGTCATTGGGGACGGTCTTGCCGGTGATGGAGGAAAAGTCGTACTTTGAAAAGCCATTTTTTATTTTTAATAGTGAAATTATTTTTCTAAATTGAATTAATACCACGAAAAATCTTAAATTTGTACTCTTCTAAATTTAAGAAGATGGTTCCATTGATTGAAATGATTTTTCATGGACTCGCATTTCTAAATCATCATGATGTCAGAAAAATAATGCAAATATTGTTTCATAGTGAATTTTTTTATGAAACAAATCAACAAAGCAACATTTATTATGTGTCGACCGGCCCATCCATAAATATACTGAACCTCTCGTACCATCTCCATAACCACTGCCATCTCTTCTTTCCATACCCAAACAAAGAAAACACTCGAAACACCCAGAAGAAGAAGATGGGTTCGACAGAGTTGACCCAGAAGCCACACGCAGTGTGCATCCCCTACCCAGCCCAGGGCCACATCAGCCCCATGCTCAACCTCGCCAAGCTCCTCCACCACCGGGGCTTCCACGTCACCTTCGTCAACACCGAGTACAACCACAACCGCCTCCTGCGGTCCCGCGGCCCGGCCTCCCTGGACGACCTCCCGTCTTTCCAGTTCCGCGCCATCCCGGACGGCCTCCCGCCCTCCAATGGCGACGCCACCCAGGACATCCCGGCCCTCTGCCAGTCCACGCAGAAGTTGTGCTTGCCTTACTTCCAGGACCTGCTCGAGAGGCTCAACGAGGAGAGCGCAACGTCGGGTTTCCCACCGTTGAGCTGCGTGGTGTCGGACGGCGGGATGAGCTTCACGCTCGACGCCGCCAAGGCAGTCGGCGTGCCGGAGGTCCTGTTCTGGACGATAAGCGCGTGCGCGTTCATGGGCATCGCGCAGTATCGCAGTCTTATTGACAAGGGTCTTACTCCACTCAAAGGTACGCATTAATCAATAATTGTCTGATTTAGGTGATCTCATTTAGAATGTCAACTGATCAAAATTTTTTACGACTAAAAATTTTTCTTTGTTCTTTTTTTCGGTTTGCTTTGCTTTTATTTTCTTCAGTTTTGTTTGTTCCTGATTTATATGATTAGCGAGTAGCCAACTATGTCATAGTTTTCTCCTTAGTTAAGTACTTAATTAAGTCGACTGCCAAAAGTAGAATTTAAAGATGGAAGAACCTTGCTCCGTAGCTTACGTATTGTTTACGACTTAATCATTTCCTATAACCTTCGAACAATCTTCTCGTGTTTTCCCTAATCGAAGTCTAACAAATGCATTGACAACACAAACTTTGCCACGTGACACCATAAACATCGAACGACATAATAGGAACGAACTCTTTTTTTAGGGAAGCGGATCCTTAATGAGAACCATGGCCATGTATGGTCACACGGTTTAATTGATCGACTCTCAATTTGTAGATGCAAGCTACTTGACAAACGGGTACTTAGACACCATTGTCGACTGGATACACGGGATGAGAAACATCCGCCTGAGAGACTTACCAAGCTTCATCCGAACCACTGACCCGGACGACCTGATGGTCGACTTCTGCTTGGTCGAAAACGAGAGAGCGAAGAGAGCCTCAGCCATTGTTTTCAACACGTTCGACCGATTAGAGCACTAGGTCCTCGACGTTCTCAAGGCCATGTTCCCCCCCATCTACACCCTTGGCCCCCTTCATCTCCTTACGGAGCAACTACCCGATAACGACACCAGGTCGATCGCGTGCAACCTGTGGAAGGAAGAGCTGGGCTGTCTCGAGTGGCTTGACTAGAAACTGCTCGGTTCGGTCGTGTACGTGAACTTCGGGAGCATCACAGTGATGTCTCCGGCACAGCTGGTGGAGTTCGCGTGGGGGCTCGCGAACAGCGGCCAGACGTTCCTGTGGGTCATCAGGCCCGACTTGGTTGTTGGCGACACGGCGATCTTGCCACCGGAGTTCTCGGCCACGACAAGGGAGCGGAGCCTGCTGGCGAGCTGGTGCCCCCAGGAGCGGGTGCTGAGCCACCCCGCGGTCGGCGGGTTCCTGACCCACAGCGGGTGGAACTCGACAATCGAGAGCATCGCGGCCGGCGTGCCAATGGCGTGCTGGCCATTCTTTGCGGACCAGCAGACGAACTGCCGGTACAGCTGCGAGGGATGGGGTGTCGGGATGGAGATCGACGGCGACGTGAAGAGGGACGAGGTGGAGAGGCAGGTGAGGGAGCTGATGGAGGGGGAGAGAGGGAAGGAGATGAAGAGGAAGGCGATGGAGTGGAAGGAGATGGCGCGAGAGGCCACGCGTCCTTCCGGGTCGTCGTTCTCGAACTTGGACGAGGTGATCAACAAGGTGTTGCTGTTGCCGAGAAGAGATTAAGCTTGTTGTTAGGATATCTGTTTGCGATCGGGGAACGTGTCCGAACGACAGTCCTCTTGTCTGTCTAGATCCTTATCTAAGGCCCGTACCAACTTCAGTCTCATCACTTTCTGTTCAGTTGGCATGCATGTAATACGGTTGGATATTTTTCTTTGATTGTATTCTCCCTACTTTCACCACTATACATTCGCGTTGATTTCTTCGTGAAGCGGCGCTAACACGACGAAGCAAATGTGGCCGGTGATAGCATTGGACCAAACTCTGGCAACATTTCTTGGTAACAAAAATAACGAGACAATTACTAAAAATAATCATAAATCTATTACACTTGTGCCAATTCAGTTTTTCAACCTTTTAATTTTTGGTCAATTTATTCCTAAATCTTTTGACATTACGAATGAAGTTTATCTAGTTGATTTTGACTAGAACTTGCTGACAAATCACCACCCTCAGGTCGATTTGAGTTCATTTTGATTACCATGGTCCTCATTTAGCTCCAAAGATTGTCCTACTAGAACCCTACATTGTCTTTCTTTTTTCGTATTTCATCCTTATAAACCAAATGCGACTTCTTGGACACTTCGAATCTTGGATTCTTGATTATTCAAAAAGCTCATAGTCTCTCTATTATCAAATAGTTGCATCTAGCCGGTAAAACTACGGAGTTTCTAATAGCATAAAAAATTAGGTAACTGGGATTTAAAGACTCGATATCCCACGATCCGATCATCGGATATCGAAAAATTCAGTACCGGTGTAGAGCGCTCGAACAAATCCCATCCAGTTACGGTGTCTGATCGAATCATTAAGGTAACCTATTTTATACCAAAGTCATATATTGCTAACGCGACGTGGTTCATCTAATCAACTTCATACATCTATCTTTCTTCAGATATGCATTGGAAATGACGACAGGATAGCTGAATGACATCACTTTCACCCTCCCAAGACCATAATCGTCGAAGAGAAATTCTGGATATGATTTTATTCAATGCTAGAAAATCCAAGTCAAGAGGCTTTATAGGTGGAGCGAGAGTCCATCTACATTTAACACCATTTAGATCTCTGCAATGTGGGACACTTCATGATCAGCTTCCCCGAGTGCATTTATGGGCTTAAAGGGATTCGTCTAGAAACAATCTTTAATGCACACATCAGAGTCGACCTCAACTTTCCCTGAATTTTGTCTCCAAAAAAGGGTTAGCACTGTTAAGGAAAATTCCCAATAGATTTTGAAGTTGACAAAACTGTCCATGAGTGTTTTGTAAGTCTGATAAATGCTTTGAAGTATTTTGATTCAGGAAGTTATTTTTGAAAGAAAAACATATGTCAATCTTGATCTAGTTCGTGTTCAGATTGTGAAAGAACTTCAAGCAAAAGAGATTTAGACTCAGAACGAGAAGTTCAGACTCAGAACGAGAAAGTTCAAACTCAGAATGAGAAGTTCAGACTTTACCGAAGACCCACACTAATCTAAGTTCTGAAACAGACGCAGACGCAGAAGCAAAACTCATTCGAACGAAACATAACTAGTGATCGTATGGATTTCACATAAGGAAAGTTTTGATTGTTTCAATCTAAGGCTATAATTGATTGACAATCAAATACTATGACAAGTATTCATTACAACGATAAAGCTCTACTTATGAAAACCAAGATTCGATTGTATGGGCGATCAGAATCAGCGGGATTCAGATTTTATCAACCAACGGCTAATCGATCCATTTTATACAAATCTGTCCAAAGGTGAATATTGGAAGATAATCCTCTGAAGACTTTCCAACGGCTAGTTTGGAAGTGGAGGAGTATAAAAGGAGATCAACGAGGAGCAGAAGGGAGAGAACGAAATCAAGAATCAACAAGTCCAAAGTCTGAGCATACTCCGATTCAATCTCTTGTCTTTCGTGAGCTTAAACGTGTAATCATTTGAGAGGTGTAGACAGTGTTGTAAGTGTGTGCTTAGGTGTGAGATAGTGTAATCTATCGGCTTGGTATAAGCAGCACCAGCTTCGGGGAGAAGTGCTTGGGTTTAAGCGGCACAACTTGCTGTAACTTCTCATTGATTTGATTAGTGGAATCCAGCCAGGTAGGCTACATTAGCGTGGGAGAGTGGACGTAGGCTTACTATAAGCCGAACCACTATAAACTTGTGTGCAGTTTTCTCTATCTCTAATATCTTATTATATTGTTTATACTGCTCACAAGAACATTTGTCACAAAGTCTGATCAGAATCTGCTTGTTGTTCAGACTTTGTTCTTGATCTTTTACTTCCGCTTTAAATTGGTAAAGAATTTATTTAAATCACCTATTCACCCCCCTTCTAGGTGATCCTTGCTAACCACATCAATTGGTATCAGAGCAGGTTGTTCGGTTATTGAAGTGTTTTACTTCTGAGCTAACGATCTATATGGCTAGCTTGAGTGCTCCAGGTCTCATTGAAGGACAAAGCAACTTTTAGACCACCATATTTCGATGGCAAGGAATATAGTGTCCGGAAGAATAAGATGAAAGCATTCATCAAGTCAATTGATCACATGCAATGGGATGTTGTCATCAGAGGAATTAAACCTACACCTTCTACGTCTTCTTCAAAAGAGAAGCAAGATGAAAACAAATCAGCAGATCCTCCATTATCTCAAACTGAGATAACAAAGAGAGAAGTTTTAGATTCAAAAGCAATTTATTCATTTTATTGTGCTTTATCACCTGTTGAGTATAAGAAAATTGCTTCTTGTGAATCAGCAAAGGACATCTGGGACACCCTCTACATCACATATGAAGGAACAGATCGAGCCAAGGAAACTCAGATCAATCTATTACTTGGTCAATATGAATCCTTCAGAATGAAGTCTGGAGAATCAGTTGCTGATATGTATGACAGATTTGTTGACATAATAAACGGTCTTGCATATCAAGGACAACCAGTCTTAGATGCGATGAAAGTCAACAAACTTTTGAGAGGACTGTCAAAGCAGTGGGATAATATCAAAACATCACTTCGAGAAACTCAAAGGATCATGCCTCTATCAGTGAATGAGCTAATTGGAACTCTTCAATCATATGAGACTAAACAACTAAATGAGGAAAATGAATCCAGAGGTAAAAAGTCAATTGCGTTAAAATCTAACATTGATTCTGATGAGACAGATTCTGAAGAAGATGAAGAAGACGATGATGAGGAGATGAAGTTGCTGATCAAAAGATTTCAACACCTTGTGAGAAAGAGAGGAAACTCCAAAGAGAAGAAGCCAACAAAGAAATTCGGAGAAAGAAAATATTTTAAGAACAGAGACGACAATGAAAGTAAGGATATGATATGTTTTGAGTGCAGGAAAATGGGTCACATAAAACCCAATTGTCCTTTATTCAAGAAAAGGAAAGGGAAATTCGAAAAGAAGAAGAAAGCTCTAAAGGCTGAAACGTGGAGTGACACAGAGTCTGAATCCAGCGATGATGAAATCCTTGAGCAGGGAAATCTATGCTTAATGGCGGACATCGAATCCGAAGAAGATGAGGTGATTTGTTCAGATCCTATTCTCGATGATGATGATCTTTTTGAAGAGTTATGCACGGAACATGAGAATGCGTTGAAGAAGATCTCCGAGTTGAAAAAGGAAGTCTCTAAATTGAAGCAACAAAATATTACGAATGAGAAAAGGATCATTGAGCTTGAAAAGAAGAATTCCTCTGTCAAGGAAGAGAAGGATATTTTGCAAAAAGAAGTTGATTCCTATAAGGAAGAAATTCCGAAGATTTGCAAAAAATTTGCTCTTGGCTCAAAGACATTAGAGCATGTTCTATCCATTCAGGTCCCCTATTACAACAAATCTGGCCTCAGTTTCGAAAATGAAAGTAAGATCAAGAATGACTTTCCGAAGGTCAAGGAGAGATTAAAGCGCAGGCCTTCAATCCAGTATTATAGAAATCATTTTGGTAAGCAATTTGTCAAGCCTATTGGATTTCAATATTATAATTGCTCGAACTCAAGTGATCACTATAAGCAACAATGTCCAACTGATTGGAAGAAATCCAAGACAATCAATTGGAGATTTGATGCTTCTTCTAACCAAAAAGGACCCAAGCAGATTTGGGTACCAAAGAAAAGATGAGATTACTTTTCTTGCAGGGAATAAGGAAAGAGAATTTGGTAAGTAAAGGTATATTTTTCAAATTCTAAATTTGCTTTGGATACGTACTTTAAATATCTATGAATTCTCTTTGGACTTAACATTTTATCTCCATGCTCTGCTTTATTTTGAATTGAAATGGCATGTTTTACATCGTTGGTTGTGTTAGAAATGTCGTAATAAAAGTCAAGTTTATTTTGATGGATTTTTTTAGATGAAATTTTATAAAAGAGATTGTTTGATATCTTATTGGAAATGAAATATTTTTTTTATGGACTCATTATGTGTTCTTCGATATTGTCATGCCTTACAAAGAAAGAATTTTTTTTTGCGAGATATTGTTTTATTATGCATATTTCCCTTAAATACTCTACTGAGATGAGTTGGGAAATTATCCTTGGGCTTCTATGAAAGTTTCCTATTTTGCGTCTAACAAAAAGAAAGGATCCAAATACAAGGATACTAGAAAGGAAATGAGTTTATTGCAGACAATTATACAAAGGGAGCATGAATGCAAACCTACGCAAGTCATGATGCAATCAACGAAGGATCTCAAGTGATGAATTCTTTCTAAAGAGGAAAGGTATATTCTGAACATGCATGTTGAGATACAAATTGGTAATATTTGTTGCCATGTGTGTAAGATATTGCATATATTTAATGCTTGAAATAGCTACATTTCTTTTGCGAAATTCGTTAATGTCATATAATCTTTATGCTTATGAGATTCACGCTTAAGGAAAATTCCTACAATCTTGAATCACTTGCTATATTCTTAGAAGATTTTTTTAATTAGCAAGTTTGATCCGCAAATCAGAGCAAGGTATGTACGTGACATTCTCTATATTTTGCAAAGATTATTATCTCTCTTACAAGTATTTGCAGGATGTAAAAGAATCTTTCCTTGTGAAGTTTGGAAAGCTTGATCCCACAATCGGGGAGATTCTGCAACATTTCCGAAGGATCGAAAATTTCTCCTTTATGCAATATTCTGACAAATTATTGGAGGCATGTCAAAACACGATGAGCAAACGCTTAATGCGTCGTACAAAAGGATAAGTTGCTTCAGGTTTAAATAGTTGATATTATTTTAATTGCTAAAGAAAAGGCATTACATATTATGTGAGATATTATATCTTTAACTGCAAATTTGTGCAAAAGGTTTGTTGAGTTTATGCAATTTGAATCCGAGACGAGCTTGATGGAAGAAAACAAATTTCTTTCTCGAATTTCAAAATGCAAACAAATGTGGCAGATGTTGCTGCTACAAAGAAAATAGAGAAGAACAATTTGTTCAAAGTGCACAAGCTGCAATGAAAGTTATTTGCAAAAGTTGTCTTGATGACAGGGGGAGAAAAACAAAAAGTGGAAAAATGCAAAAGAAAGGGGGAGAATCATCTCAAAATGGTATCAAATTGAGGGGGAGCGTAAATCAAGTATGAAAGTCAATTTAATTTCTGCCCACTCTTGATTACTATGAAAGAAAAGGTAATGTATGTTAGAACTTGCTAAGTTCTACACAATCCGGGTTAGTATTTCTTACTTTTTGTCATTAACGAATCTCTTATTTATATTATCATTTTTTCATGACAAAAAGATTGTGAAATTTATTATGTGCATACGTGTTCGTTGATATATATGATATTTGATTCTTCTGAACATGAGCTATATTGAATATATGTTATGTTCGCGAAAGATGATATTTTTGAAGGTTGTGTTTCATGCCAAATATATTTTGAAGATAGTATGTGAAGAAGAGTTAAATTTATATTCTCTACGTGATACCCTTTCCATTACTATCACTTTTTGATTATGACAAAAAGGGGGAGAGAATGTAAATATGCATATGTGCTTAGTGTTTAATTCTACTTAATTGATGCATAATATTGAGTTGTGATTATACTTCCATATATTGTCATAATCATTAAGGAATTTTATGCATATAACTTTTTGTGATGCTGACAAAAAGGGGGAGAAATATGTATATATGATTTGGTTTGATATGCAGATTATTGGATTCAAAGAAAAGGAGACAGACTGTGATTTAGATTTTTTTTACGGTTAAGATTTTGTCATACTCCTTGTCTTATTCAAAAACTGAGTATAAAAAAATCTCATATCAAATTACTCTGATCATATATGATATCTTGAATATCTGCTACATTATATGCTTGATCATATTTTTCAAAATTATCTCAAAATCTATATATCTGCATGGAAGTTTTGTAACCATCAAAAAGGGGGAGATTGTTAAGGAAAATTCCCAATAGATTTTGAAGTTGACAAAACTGTCCATGAGTGTTTTGTAAATCTGATAAATGCTTTGAAGTATTTTGATTCAGGAAGTTATTTTTGGAAGAAAAGCGTATGTCAATCTTGATCTAGTTCGTGTTCAGATTGTGAAAGAACTTCAAGCAAAAGAGATTCAGACTCAGAACGAGAAGTTCAGACTCAAAACAAGAAAGTTCAAACTCAGAATGAGAAGTTCAGACTTTACCGAAGACCCACACTAATCTAAGTTCTGAAACAGACGCAGACGCAGAAGCAAAACTCATTCAGAACGAAACATAACAGCTAGTGATCTGGTATGGATTTCACAGAAGGAAAGTTTTGATTGTTTCAATCTAAGGCTATAATTGATTGACAATCAAATACTATGACAAGTATTCATTACAACGGATAAAGCTCTACTTATGGAAACCAAGATTCTGATTGTATGGGCGACCAGAATCAGTGGGATTCAGATTTTATCAACCAACGGCTAATCGATCCATTTTATACAAATCTGTCCAAAGGTGAATATTGGAAGATAATCCTCTGAAGACTTTCCAACGGCTAGTTTGGAAGTGGAGGAGTATAAAAGGAGATCAACGAGGAGCAGAAGGGAGAGAACGAAATCAAGAATCAACAAGTCCAAAGTCTGAGCATACTCCGATTCAATCTCTTGTCTTTCGTGAGCTTAAACGTGTAATCATTTGAGAGGTGTAGACAGTGTTGTAAGTGTGTGCTTAGGTGTGAGATAGTGTGATCTATCGGCTTGGTATAAGCAGCACCAGCTTCGGGGAGAAGTGCTTGGGTTTAAGCGGCACAACTTGCTATAACTTCTCATTGATTTGATTAGTGGAATCCAGCCAGTAGGCTGTTAGCGTGGGAGAGTGGACGTAGGCTTACTATAAGCCGAACCACTATAAACTTGTGTGCAGTTTTCTCTATCTCTAATATCTTATTATATTGTTTATACTGCTCACAAGAACATTTGTCACAAAGTCTGATCAGAATCTGCTTGTTGTTCAGACTTTGTTCTTGATCTTTTACTTCCGCTTTAAATTGGTAAAGAATTTATTTAAATCACCTATTCACCCCCCCCTCTAGGTGATCCTTGCTATTCACATCAAGCACAAAAGATTTAGATTACAGTCCGATCCATACAAGAGAAAACTCTGCTAAATTGATCTGCATGAAGTTAATTTCGCTAAAGAGCGCGATATTTTTTCAGCATGACAATGCAATAATCCATAATTCGTAGGACTAATCCAAGATGAGGATACATCAGGGAGACGATCCGATTTCAACTTGCTAAGAGGAGTCGATATTATTTAAGCATGTAAGACTCAGACGGACATGAACGGTGCTATAGATCCACCTGACACCTCGACCCCGATGTCGAACGAGTCGAGAGGAAAAGGCCCGTGGCCGGGGCCGAACGACTTGATGTGGTCCTTGAGCGACCTCTTGTGCTTGAAGTCGGAGCCGCAGACGCAGAGCCAGCGCTTTCTACAGTTCTTCTTGTGGGTCCTCCAGTCCCCCTTGATGGCGAGGGGCTTGCCGCACTTGCGGCATGCGAAGGGCTTCGACCCGTGCTTCCGCTTGTAGTGTGTCTGGAGGGTCCGGAAGTCCTTGAGCGGCTTGGCCCTCGGGTGGTCTATGTGGTTCCGGCACCCCTCGGCACAGCAGTAGCACGTGTGGTCCATCATGCAACAATACCCACAAAAGGACCCAAAAGTAAAAGGGATGAAATTCCTAGACTGGGAAATCGTTAAGAGGGTAATTTCTTGAATGCGGAATGATGGCTCTAGTGTCGATTTACTTAGAGATTGAAGAATATAAATAGGCAGATCAGAGTAATCTGAGACAGAACAAGAGAGAAACCGAGGTCGGGTGGCTGAAGAATAATTTGGCATTGAATGAGAACAACCTCAGAATGAAGAGGGTCATAAATTGCTCCTGTCAACAATTTTCCATCTGCTTTCACCGGTTGAAAGGAAATCATATTTGCCTTAATTCCTGTGGCCCCTTGGCTCCTTATTTTAGCAGGAGTTTAACTTCAGAGGGTTAAAGATTTATGGCAATGTATCAAATGGTCTGGTGCACGCTCAAGCTCATTAGTCAAACGCCCACCACCTACATTAGATTGATGTTAGAGTAGAAAATGAAGAGAGAGAGAGAGAGAGAGAGGTTTCGTTGGAGAGCAGAGATGATGAGTTCCTAAGTATGGGACGTGCATGGGGGACCTTTCATTTATATCTCTACCTTATACTGTCAAGTCTTGGGCCTGCTGTAATTCGAACTCGAGTTGACAGTATTCCTTCTTAGATTGTGCAGCAGTCTGAAGCTTTGAACCATTTCTGTCAAGATGAATTTATAGTAATCATCTTGTCTACCTAATAGTGAAGGGATCGGCATTTGAAAAGAAATACTAATGCAGCAAGAAAATGCTCATCACCTAAGAAATCTACCTGATGAAGATACAAGGCAAATGACCGATAACTTAATTGAATCCATAAAAAAAAAATTACCAAGTTAAAGTGAAATTATAATAGAAGAGTTTGAATTATACAGTTCGTTAAAGCAAGATATACCCTCTAACTCTAGAGAAAACTGTAGGAATTTTTTTGTAGACACAATTGGGAATGTCCGTCCAAGCAACAGCAAATTCCAACGTACCAACCTCTTATTTTTCGACACAAGGAGTAACAATCTCTAGACAAAACCTAAATGCTGAAATTGACTCTTGACCCTAATGAATCTGGGATTAATTTGGATTTCAATCGTATGTTATTTGACCATATCGAAGCACCGAAATCTTTGAAATATCTAAACAAAATTACCCGTAAAACTCTGTCCCATCCAAGCAATTTAGCACTTATAGCTTAAACCTCTAGAGAAGAGATGATCCTTTATCATTACCACCCATCAAGAGATCATTTTTCGCGTTCAGATATCACCATGTGACATAATCCATGTGTAAGTTCATAATACTTCTTGTTTAAAGATTAAGCTTTTTGGAGTAGCCGCTTCCATATTCTATTTACAAGCACTATGCATATCAACTTCGCATTAAGCGAGTTCAATTTAATCCAGTCTTCGTGTGATCGGGAGACGTATCCGAACATTCAATGTGCATCATGTCCTTTTTTTCTAATAAATAAACTTCCATGGTGATAAAATTATTTGGTTCTTTGATTTTTAAAACCTTTTCCGGACATAGTGACAGATTGGCAATTTTTTTCACCCCATCATTCGAACATAATCAAATGTTGGGTCTGGACACCATCAATGTCATTCTAGCGATATAGTGCTACAACCGGAGTGGTTGAATAATATAAATCGCTAGAAATAAATAACAAGGCACAAGACAATCATAAATTTACTTATCATTTCCAATATCTTTATGCCGTCTAATTTTATGTCTAGTTACATGCAACTTGCGAGGATGGTGGGAAAATCTTTTTTTATTGCTTCTTTTTCACGCAAAAAATAAAAAATCGCTCATCTGTTCACCTGCGTATTTCTTTCTTTTACATTGGCGTTGTATGGTCTAATTTTCCATAATCAAATGAATGTCGCTGTTCTGCCCTTTAAAAAGGAGAAAAGAGAGGAGAAGAGCTGGGAAAATTGGAGAAACCGTGCATCTAGGGCCTCGAAACAGTTTGCAGATCAGGGCCCTGATCTTTCTGTTCTCGAGCTGTCGGCCCTCGATCGAGTAAATTAAGGGGGCCTTTGATGCTGCTCTTTGTTTCCAGGTATTCCTACGTTTGCTGCTTTATGATCATCATCAGACTTGTCTTCTGTAGCTAAATTTTGGGCTATTCATCAATTGAAATTAAGACACTTATTATGTGATGGCAATTGCTTCGATCCTTCTAAAAACCGACAAGTACTTTTTCGTCCAAAGTCATGTAAATCATTTTTCCATATTTTTCAATTCTTCCAAAGGAGAAGTTCATCGACCAAGAAATTGGAAATTTAGGAAATGGCCGTAGGTTAAGTGTGCTTATTGAAAAATAATCTAAGGAAAAAAAACAACAGAGTGCAAAATTAAAGATATATAGTCTTTTAGTCATGTGGGTAGCAACGGACTAGTCGACAATTTTGCGAAGCTAAATTTAAGTTAATATTATAAGTTGGGTTATTCTCGCAGCAAAGAAACATCGGGGTGGTGGCGCAGTTGGCTAGCGCGTAGGTCTCATAGCCGTCACTGATAGATTTCGTGACGTTGCCGCCGCCGATGGATTTTGGGGCGATGCCGTCATCGATGGATTTCGAGACAATGCCGCCATCAATGGATTTCGAGGCGATGCCCGATGGAGTGTCGGATGCCCGGTGAACACCGGAGGAACTGATGGATTTCGGTTGAGAAATAAGGAATCTCGTGTGTCGATCTTCGCATGCAACATGTAAATACCATGCTTGATGTTTTCTTACTTGGTGCGCATGGCATAATTAGCAAATAAGTAAGGTAAGAAGCATTTGCTATTGATCTACCATTGACAAGCCAACGGTAACGGTCGTTCTCTTGTTCAATGCGAGGCTATCTGTTAGCCGAAACATAGTGAATTTAACTTATTGAGTTGTGTGACTCATTTTTTTTATTTTCAGCTTTGTAGGTATGGCCTTGCCACCCCTTGTTCGTCACAGTCTTCCAATAGAAATGCATGTTTCCGTTGCTAACATAGTTGATGTTGGGTTTGAGATCACATACCGTAAATGTAATACCACAGTTTGGGTTCAAGAAAGTGTTGATGAGCTAGTTCCCCATCATTATGAAGCATGGTTTGATGGAGACCTTTTGGGATCCCTTGCTGATTTCAACGGGCCACCCGGGGCTACTAGTGATAACACGCCCAACGGGGATACGGGAGGATCGTAGCTAATCGATCGAGCTTGGGAAGAAGCTAACTTTTGCTTTTTGTGAAGGGGACGGTGGTAGTGAAGCTAGGATGACCCTAGCTATGCGGATAGTATGTGAAGGACCAGACGTGATCCGGATGTAAACAAATAATCGAGAAGGCCCGTAGGAAAGAGGGCCTGTAATATAAACATCTATCATGTAAATTAAGTGTGCTTGTATAATATGCTTTTTAGCTCTTGTTGTTGTTCTTGTCATTGTTGTTGAGTATAATAGTTTCCGCTTGTGCGTAACCAAAAAATAACGTAACGGGACGCTGCTATATAAATCCCCGAAACAAAAATGGATCACGACCAAGCCAAGGCCGAGTGCCACGGTCTTGACCTGGGGCGTGACATTATGTATGGACTTGGCAAAAATAACCCCAGACTTGAGAAATGGCCTTAACTCTCCAGGAAAAAGGTGGTGTAATAGCGGAATTTTTACCAACTCTCAAAAGTCCAATTCACCACCTGAGAATTTTTCCAACTCTAAGTTTTTATTAGGAAAAAAGTCACGTAAAACTCCAGATTATGTCTACTGTGACATAATTATCATGAGTTTTTTTGTTACATCAAAAATTTCATATTATGCTCACCGTAACTCATCTACCCTAAACTTTTTCTGGTGACATAAAAAACTTCAAACTTGTACCTATGATGTAAAACAGTTAGCCTGTGATTATGTTGAAGAATGTGATCGCCGTAATCGTCGAAACTCTCGGCAGTTTTTCTGATTTTGGGGAAAACGACCTCGGATCGCGCTCAAAATTGGTCTTGAAGCGAAATGGCCGTATCATTCGGACACACAGCTATGCTGTGACATATGATGGATTTTAGCATTTCGAAGTCGTCTGGATAGAGTTTCAGTCACTTTTTTACTTTAGGCAATTTCGAATTATCAATATTTCGTTTGATTTTATTAGATAAAATTTGATTTGATTTGCGTTGATGTTATCTTCATTAATTCGGATATCTTTAGGAGTCCTATCATTATTAAAGGACGTCCAACTTTATATTTAGATTATGATCTAATTGAATTGAATTCCAGTCGAATCGTAGAAGGTTTTCCAAGTTATCGCTTCTTTCTGCGTCATTTGGTATCAGAGCAGGTTTCTCCTGTGACGATAGTGAATAACGTGAATGTCAATCTCCCCGCTGCTGAGGGCCGTGAGAACGAGCCTATTACGCGGGCTGAGTTCAATCAGTTCGTGGATCAAACCGATCGGAGGTTTCAAAAGATCCTTGATGCCATCCAGTGTTTGTCCACAAACCATGCGCCTGGCGTTCTTCCAGCCGAGCGAATTCCTGTCGTTCGTGATCCCGAAGATGCTATGATGCTATGGGGCGTGGAGGAATTCCCCGACATAGGCGTCAACACTATGTCGAGGATACGGAAGACGAAGACGATGATTTCCAGGAGATGCAGATTCGTGGTGGTCGCCGATACAGGGGATTCCAGGAGGAGCATGTTCGTGGGGATCGACGGCAGGGGGGCTATCGACGAGATCCTGAGCAGTATCAACTAAAGGTAGATCTCCCTACTTTTAATGGGAATTTGGATATTGAAGATTTCCTTGACTGGCTTTGGGAGGTCGAAAAATTCTTCGACGCTATTGATATTGACGAGGATCGCCAAGTGAAACTTGTGGCGTACAAGTTGAAGGGTGGCGCTTCAGCTTGGTGGGAACAGACTCAATTGACGCGACGTTGACAAGGCAAGGCTCCTATTCGATCATGGGGCCAGATGAAACAGAAG